TTCTTGTTCCACAAGAGTTGGTGGTCTCGATATTGATATGGTGGGAACCGATGTTGATCAGCAGTCCACCGTACCTTCTCATGCTCTGCACACCTGTCCAACCCTGCTGGGCGTCGTCCGGGACTTGACCGTGGCCTGGATGTCGTGAAGGTAGGGAACTTGCAACCGTCTTGCAACGACCAACCACTTTCAAGCAGGGCATCAACGTGGACCTTGGCATTCAGCTCCACCGACCCCGCGCTACCCCAACGAGTCTCCTCGGGAGCGGTCGCCTTTGCTCCCTCCCCTGAGTTCAGTTCCCAGGAAACCCAGTATAGTCGCGGCCGGTGACAAAGTGTAATGCCGACGGAGTCAATGAAGTAGGGTTGCAGCTCCACTGTGCGACTCATGACCTCTCGGTCCTCATCAGACATCGATGCCACTGACTCCATGACCAAGTGTGTTTGTGCCCAGGGGAAGTATTCCTCAAACAGAGCTCTGATGCGAGGAACTTCTTGAAACAAGCTACTACGCAAGTCCAGCAAAGCCCCCTTCCTTCCTGCATTCAAGCCACTGACCCCCTGGCACGGAGGTCCTGCACCTATCAGCACCAACCCTACTGACGGGTATCGAAGACTGAGGTCGCGGACCAAAGGGCCATCAACTGTCTGGACATCATTATGAAACATGGCGACTCCACGACACGCTTTGCTGTTTCTTCTTTCTCTACACTCAAGTGTCCAGCAACTGGGATCCCAAAGGCATCAACGGCCAAACGAAGCGCACCAAGCCCGTCAAACAAGCCCACTGTCAGCACCTGTATGGTCTGAATCTCTTCCGGGATGTCTCCCTTTACTTCTGCGTCCAACGCCGCCACGCCATAACCCGTGAGTCCTTCACTCACACAGAAACCACCTCCTGCTGTAGACGCATCGCTACAGGTGACATGTTCTCCCAGAGGTAGCTTAAAACTCATCTGCGCCAAGGGACACAACAGGATGAATCTCAACAGCTCTCTCATGACCTGCTTTGGCAATGGCATACGCACAACTGTGGGCAGACGCTTCACGCGCTCCATAAACCTCCAAACCTCATTGAGCGCGCGCAACAATGGACGACGAAACATACAGAAGTACACGAAGCCACCACACACTACCTGCAACTCCTTTAGGGTACAGTGTCTCCGTTGCACGAGACAGAGGCCCAGAAACACGTAGAGGAGAACCTTCTCGAGGCGTGGCATGGCAAAACCTAGCTTGCCATCAACACGCTCAGTCGACTTCTTGGGGTGGCGAGGCAATCCCAAACGGGAGTACTCCTCCCTCGACGCCTGAACTGTCTGAGCCACTGCGCCTTGGATAAGCTCCGCCTGTTCTCGATTGTAGCGCTCCAGCAAGTCAAAATTGTCAAGGTAGACACGAAACAAAGAAGATGATGAAGTTCCTACTCTATCACGTCTCATCTCTGTCTCACCTCCCAGACCATGCGGGGTTGACTGCTGACTCCGCTTTACCACGTTCCGGTGGATACGCTGTGCGATCGACACACTGTTGATAAAACCCATAGGTAGTACCCTGGAAACCAAGACACAGCGCTTGCCTTTCCACTGTTGCGGAATCAAATCCTCTTCGACTTCTTTGTTGAATCCTAAGAACCTCTTCCATTCCACTGGAACCTAGAACAAGTAGAAGAAGCAACGAATATCTTCTGCACTCATCACCGCTACCTCCCCCTCATCTAACAAGAAGCTTTGGAAGGAAGCAATTGTGACGGGAGCGTGCATACTTCTCCCACCAAAGGTTCACATAGTTTGTTGAAGGGGATGAGATTCATGATGAGTCTTTGGGTTTCCAGCAAACCCACGAATTCACCCTTTCCGACCGCAAACAACCCGTTCAGCAAGGGCTCCTGGCCGACGTGGTAGAGCTTCTCCACGGGCCATACTTCGCAGATGCCACGATCCACCAAGCCTCTGCTGAGCGCCGACCAGTCATCTCCAACCATCACTTTCGGGGGGGCGAGTACGAACCATGGTGTCCACCGGGATCAAAAAGTCAGTCCTCCAAATGCCTAATGTAGTGGAGAGTACCCTCAGTGCAGAAATCGACCAACCTAAGCTGACCAACCGTGAGTTGCGAACCGCTTCCCAACACAAGGTCTGAGCAAGCCGAATCTCCTCCCCAGCATAGGTTACCCCCCTCTTCCTGAAGAACGATTCGAAGTCCACCGGGTCCATAGTCCGATCCCACACGTCGAATCTCTCGCACAGCATGCTAAGGTTTTCCGTCAGTCCCACGGGGCAACGGGACGGTACTGGCCCATGCCCGCGTCCGATGGCCAAGTGATTGAGGCCGAATATACCATCTGCTCACACGCCTTGCCAGACCCTTCATTGCGACAACGGGGCAACGGAAGTGGAAAAATACATTCATTGGGTAAACATAGGTCTTCCATTGCCGTGGACTGCGTGCGCTCTTCGTCAAGTTTCTCGAGAAAAACCCGCGCCGCATTCATGGCCTGCTGACTCACGTCCCAAATCCGGAGGACTCACCTCCTTGCCTGCTTCGGATGCCTCGTGAGTCGTCACCAGGGAAGCCTTCTCTGGTCCGACCAGTTCGAGCCTTCTTGCAACGTCGCTCTGAACTCCTCTCGCGATCTGCTCCAAACTCTTGATCCTCTGTGACGCCACATCTAACGCGGCTGCTGGCCGACCTCTGAGCATCAGGTCCACCGCGAGGCACCAATGTTGCATCTCCCGTCCCATGACCGGCCCTACCTGGCTCTGTAGGTGTTGCCGGTAGTATTGGCTTGCCACTGGTGGCAGGCTTCCCTCGCTGCTGGAGCTCAGGAATCGTTCGGCGGTCATCAAGCTCTGTCTCATGTCTTGTAGCACGCCGCAAGACAATGCTCCTGGAACCCTCTTCCAGATCTGAAGCACCCTTCTCTCTGCCTCGAATAGTTCGCTGGAACCGATCAGCTCTTCGGCCAAACTGGAGGAAGTCGTCGAACTGTCGCTGTCCGGCTCCTCTCTCCCTCTGCTCCGGGAGCGGCTCCCTTTCTTCCTCCTCTTGCCTCTTCTGATCTTCCTGGCCTTGCGCATCAGCACCTTCCGGGTTTGGGGGTCCGGATCGACTCCTGTACGGGCGAAGATGTCCTTCAGCGGTACCTCCAGACACGGCCTGATCTTCTCCTTTTCTTTCTTCTTGACCTTCTTCTTCGACACCCTCTTCTCCTTTTCTCCCTCCGCTGCGGGAGCGTTTGCGCCTTGTGGGGAGTGCTCCTCGGCATTCACGCCCTCCACCACACGCTTCATCTCTGTTCTCAACTTGGCCAACTGATCGAGTTCGTCCATCATCCCAAGGCCTCGACCCTTCACCTCCTCCAGATTGGTCCACCAGCCCTCTGGCGGCCCCTCTTGGCACATCAGGCGCTCTCCATGCAGCAGGTCGTTGCTCCACACCAGGTTCTTGCAGGGCTGACCACATAGATGAACCTCCATGTCTCTGCATCGACCACCCACTGCTTTCAACAAACTCTCTGTTTGTGTACCTGCCACACGAACCCGCAGCTTTCGATCTCCGCCGCGAAAGTTCAGGCCTGACACCACGCCTGCGATCACACAAGGGGCTTCCCAATATCTGCCTTCTACCACCACTCTGTCCAGGTTCCCTATCTCCTCCATTGTAAGTTCCGGGATGGACCTCCACATCCCACTTGGCTCTTCGGCTCCTCTCTCTTCCTCTCTCGCTTCTCATCACCTCCTCTGGACTTCCACGTCGACGAACTGGGGGCCTCACCCGAGCCCCTGGCCTTCTGAGTACCTTGCAGGCCATCACCGTCTCCCCTGCTCTCGATCGTACTCGTTCCAGAGCCTGTAGTTGAGGTTCTTCTCACGCTTTGTTCTGCCCTTTGACTCGGTCGGTTGATGACCACGGTTCCGACCTGGCCAATATCGGTAGCCTTGGGAGTCTTCAAACTTGGGAAAGGCTTGATACTCTACCCAACCCGCGATGCCCGGGGTGGATGGTCTGGCTTTTGAGGCTTCTTGCAGGACCTTGTCTCGCTCTTTCCTCTCTCCCTCACAGTCCTCTCACGGGAGTTGGTCCGCGAGGTTGGAGGGGGCGCCGCCCGCCTGCATGGCCGCTGGGTCGAAATGGGAAGGCCTTGGAGCGGGGGCTCGGGACTGGTCGCTCTTCGCCTGGGAAGCACGGGCCTGCTCGGTGGATGCACTAGCTGTACCTTGATGTTCAGGAACTCGCTCAGGTGTTCGAGGTTTCTTGGAGTCTCTTGCAACCTCGACGTGGCTACGGGAGCGTCTCCGTCTCCCCCTGCTGGTGCTTCGGTCCTTCTTGGCCGATTTCTTCTCTGGACCTCTTCCTCCGTTCACTGGGGCTCTTTGTAAGGGCGTCTCCGGGAGCGTTGTTTTCTACTCCCTCTCGAATTCCACTGGCTGTTGAGGTCTCCTCCCCGGGCTGTTCGCTGGCGGCTGACTCTTCCTTATCCTCCTCACTTCGCTCTCCTTTTACTTCGGGCTTCACCTGGCTGGGCTTGGACTTGTCCTCCCTCTTGGTCTTGATCTCGGTAGGTCGTGAAGGCGTGGCAGAACCCTCGCGACCCTCAGTGAAAGCCGGCGCCGAAAAGGTAGCCCTTCCGACACCTTCTCGAGATCTGCCCCCCGCCTCGTCGAACAGCTCGAGATAGACACCTCGGAGTTTGCTCACACAAGAACGTGAGAACTCCTCGCCCAGCTTCTCGTTGTATACGAGCAGCAAAAGTCTCTGACAGGTCAGGCACAATTGGCACCTGCGCGTGCGCCAATTATGCACCTCACCCATCAGATGACCAGCTGAAGCCGAGAATCTGCGGAACACGAGTGCGGGTTTCGTCTTTAAATACGAAAACGTAAGTCATATTAATATTCAACAAAATGAACTCAGTCCAGGAATTTGTATGTTCACTCTCTCTCTCTCTCTGAAATCATCGTGCCGCGCCCAACTTTTCTATGCGCTTGATGAAGCGAATCAAACAACCCGGCACGCAGCAAGCCCGTAAGCTAGTTGCGCCACTTGCACCGCTTGCTTCTCTCTGCACGGTCTAGCTGATGGGTCTCTCGTTTTGTCCATGGTGAGCGTGGCTGCCTCTTTCATCCAAATGTCTGCTTCGATACATGTACGGACGAGGGACTTGACGACTTTCCTTGAGTTTTCAAGAGCGGCCCTCAGCAAACCAAACTTCGGTCCACGTATAAACATGCCATTCCTGGAGTCTACGAAGAAGGTCTCGCTTTCTGGTAAGAACTTTTGAAGAAAGGCTTTGGGAGGCACTGCGTCCACAGCGGCCTCTGAGGCCCAACCAGATTCGCCTGCCCGGAATTCAGGGGTGAAAACTTGCAGTGTTGTTTCAGCCAAGACTGTCATATGCTCATGCAGTTGGCGTTGGTTTCGCAAGCAGTTCTGATCGAACATTTGTGGGTGACCTGGGTGATGCATACCGCTTTGCCGTGCCAAGGCGCACCCTATCCCCTCCAAATAGACAGACACGATAAATTGTGTTTTGTTGCCATCAAATATAAAATTATGCCAGCATACACCCCAAACAGTTTCAGCATTGTTGTTCAACTCCTTGAATTCCAATGTTGGTGGTGACGTTTGTATCGGGAATGTTGTTGTTGAAATTCACCTCATCCCCATGGACCCCGTAGCGTGTACTCTCAAGGTAGAGTGGAAAGGGCGCTTAGGGGTTCTACAGGGTTAGCGCTAGGATAGCTAGGAAATCTGTGCTGATCCTGTAAAATACAGGTTATCAGCCGTAGGCTAACTAGAGTAGAGCTATGGACCCGATGGGCGATGACGTAAGCGCTGGACCCTGCTCGGATGGATGCAAACATCAGACGTCTTCGTGATGTCAGGAGCTCCTCCGCAACTGATGATGAGATTCGTGGACCTCCACAAGGTAGGGTTCGTGTTGTTGGCGATCCTGAAATTATCGATGTTCTTGGAAGAGTATGTCACTATCTTGGTCCTGCTTTGCTGGTGATACATGATGACCGCGGCCTAGTGCGGGCTCTTGAGTTCGTCGGTGTGGGAGCCGATCAGGGCTATATGAACGAAGTTTGGCACTTGGATGTCATGACTGGCAAGTACAAGTACAGAGACCTCTCGCGACTCCAGAGGACTCGGATCACACTCCGCCAAGATCGTGATCCAGCAACAGGTGGCTGATACGCGCACAGAAGTGTCGAATCAGGCCTCAGACTGTGGTTGCTGGATGCGCAGTGTAATCCAGGTATGGCTCATGCTGTTTGGATCTGTTTGGAGGCAGCCAAGCCAAATACCACTTGTGCCACTTGCACACGTTGCATCTGCCTTGTTGGCATCGGAACCTTCCACTTTCTCCCTGGCTCTGGATGGAGACGAATTGCAGCAGCAGCCTTCTTCATCCAATCCTCTGGGAGGGGACATGCTGCAAGCAAGGGCTTGACGAATGGCTTTGGATTTTCAACGACCTGCTTCAAAAGGCCGTACTTGGGACCGCGGGCAAAAGTGCCAGCCGCAGGTTGACAAGTAAGGTCTCACTGTTGGGATTGAATGCGGCAAGAAATGAAGGTGGAGGCGTCTCATCCGGACCTTTCTCTGAAGGCCACTCTCTACCCGGGTGAAACTCCTCCAGATTGCCCTGGCTTATCCACTCTCTTCCGTAATACACCTGCGAGTCCGCGCATTGAATTCGATGGGCTGGGACCCCTTGCATACCTTCCAGGACACGGTACTTCCACGCTCCTGCTTCGACATGGTACTGCCAAACCTCTTTGATATAATTGCTGTTCTTCTTGCCTCCTTCAACTCCAACGAATTCCAGGGTACGCACCACCCCACGGTTGTCGAAGCAAACAACCAAGGCCGGACCCAAGTAGTGGAAATAGTTTCCATAACGATCCACAATCTCGGGATCGCCGACGATCTTCACACTACACTGGGGCTTTCCAAGGCGTTGATCATCACCCACAGATGAGGCAGCAATGTTTGCGAGGTTGCACGGCCCTTCATTCAAAGCCTCCGGAGATAGAGCGTTGGTTTGTCCAGCTTGCGCCTCCAGCTGGCTGAACAAGTCCATGTAGTTCGCCATTGCTACAAAATGGCTCTAAGGTAGGCTAAGGCTATGTGCACCAATGCATTGCACAATCCTGGGTCAGAAGCCAAACTGCTATGAAGGTTTCGATCAGCTCAAATGCGAAAAGCCGCAAAGCACATGATGGAATTGAAAAGTGGACTGCTGAGTTTGAGGAATTGGTGTCTGGCAAATAGTGCCATTTGGTCAGTGTTGGGCGGTTTTGTCAACCTCCAGAAAACTGCCGGCCGCTTTTGTCCCAGGCAGGCTTTTGGCTCAAACACAGCCTGCTTTGCAGGACCAGGTAAGGCCATGCATTGGGCATGTTCTGCTAGGACAATTGGTCAACATTTGGTTCAGAAGCTTTTGGCTAATGATCCTAAAGGTTTCGTGACAGTAATTGAGAGGTTTGGGTAGCTGGACTTAGTTCTTGAGCATTATCATGCTTTGCGATACATGTGTGACCCTGTGACCTGAACAATCTCCAGGATCTTGCGGTACAAATGAAGACCTTGACCAATCTGAGTAAGCTGATGCCCTTGCTTTAGGAACGAAATGTGAGGCTCATATGTACAAAGCACTCAGCCTCGCCCACCACCACCTTTTCCTTTGCCTTTCCCTTTTCCTTTTCCTTTGCCCTTGCCTTTACCTTTGCCTTTGCCCTTGCCCTTCTTCTTGGGGGCTTCCTCTCCTTCCTGGGGAGTCTTTTTGACTTTGACTTCTCTGCCATCAATCTCCTGTGCTCTGAAAAGATACTTCATGGTCACCAGCTTGTCCAGGTTCAAACGTGTTTGGTCAACATGTCTGATGAGGCATAGAGAATGGTGTCAGATTCCAAATCCAAGCTACAAAGAATAAAGTCATGTGATGAGACATCCCAATAAATGCCTGAACTAATGCCCTATATTTACTCTTCTACGAAGGTTGATGTGTCAGCAACCTTGGTGCGACAAATAATTATATAATTATATACTAGATAATTGCACAGAAAAATGAGCTTGAAACATTCTGGCACAAAGTAAAAAAGCATCCAAACAACTTGAACAACAATCCCAACAGTGACGATATCGGCGTCAATTGTCTTTTGTTCAACTCATTAAACACAAATCTAAAAAAAAAAAAAAAAATCCTGTTTAACACCATGCCAAGGCCATTCTGAGGTCCTGCCCCTGCAAACCTTCAATGGCAGCGTCCATTTCCTCTGCTGTGGAAAAGGACACATCAGCTCGGCGAGGAGCGCCGCGAACCCATCGACGCACAGTGACCACTTTCCCAAACTTCTTCACAGCCTGCAAACTGGGAAAGCCATTTCTATGAAAACATGTAACATACTCAGTAAAAGAACGAGGAAAGCATAACAATCCAAATCTAATACATTGCTATGCTGCTACATCAAACATGCACTCACTTCTGGACCACTGTCAAAGTCCACAAAACTTTTTGAGTTTTGAGCTTGTACTGTCAAAGTCCACAACACTCTATCCCGGAACCTCTTTGAAAGTAGGGTCTGGACCTGTCAACCTTTCTGCTTTCGTTTATATACATATATATATATTATGTATATGCTCATTCTGTCTGCTCAGATCTGCCTTCCGCACGGTCTGTCGAGTCGTGTCAAAGCTAAGACCACCGATGGACACCGAATGGATGGTTGGCTCGCCCTCATCGTTGTCAAGAGCAGGGTCCTCATCCCAAACTCTCATTTGCGGTAAGTCACACCTCTCTTGAAATTGAAAAATACAAGTACAGCAACCTTCATGCAAAATGTATGATCCTCAAATTCCTTCTCAATGGTTGTCTCAGCAACCTCAATCTTTGCTTTTTTCTGAGGTTTCTCCTGGCTTGCAGGCATTGGGTCTGGCCACAAATGACTCCAGAACTCAAGCGCCGAAAGCCCCAAAAATTGGACTCCTCGACCTCTTCCTCCTCCTCTTCCGCTTCGACGATTTCTTTTTGCTTCTTGCCCATGCCCTGAAAGCGAAGGCAACCAAGAATGCAGGAGGCGGCAAATACAAAACACTAGTCAAGGAATCATCTTTCAGCTGCTTCAGCTCTTAAACTAGACTCAGACTTTCAATTTGATGCCTTCAAGTCCGCCCAGGGCGGTTTTCTACTACTTTGAGCCAAAAGGGTTTGCGAAAAGAAAGGTCACTTGGCTTGAAAAATTAGGGTTTACCTTGGCGACCCTACAATCGATTGGGCCTGGTCAAGAAGTTTACTATGCATTCAACACCTCTACTCCACCGCATTTTGCAGGTGTCCGAATGCTCATTTTCCCGCTCACCCAGTTTCTGCTCCAGCTTCTCATCTGGATGATCGATCCACATTTCGGTCCATTGACGCCTTGGTCAGTTTTCCGCGTAGGGCCCGGCAGACACATCCGAAAGAATGTTGCATGACCGTTGGGGCCATCTCCTCCAATCATCTGAGTCTGCTAGTTTTGCACCTGCGCAAAGCCTCGGCATCAGTGCCAGGTGCTATCTGCGTGAAGCCTTGATCTTCAGATCCTCATAGGTCGACGCAATGTGTGTCCATCTATCATGCTTTGGCTGAAAGCTGCTATCTTGTCTTACAAGCATCAGCTGCTTTTGAGAGTTTCGCATCCAACCATTGAAGCACCCATTGATGTCCAATTGAAGTTCTTAAATAGTCCTCCCAGCTTCCAGACTCCAAAGCTGTTTTGAAGCCCTCTTCATATACTTGCTTGCACAGCTCGTCCACCAAACACTTTTGTCGCAGCTTTTGTTCGGACTCTGTGATTGTTAGTGCTTTCCAAAGCTCGGCTTTTCGTCGCACGCGCGCCTCCACAAGTGCCTTTAAGGCCTTGTAGTCATCTTGAACTCCATTACCCAGGTCCTTCCGGTCCTTCTGTTTCAAGCCAGACCCCTCTGAAAGGCTTTGTCTCGAGATCTTTTGTTGCCTTTGAGATTTCTTCGCTTCTGCTCGAACCAAATCCCACATCCCGCGGGTCGGCGCTGGAGTTGGAAGATCTTCATCAAAGGTTTCAGACACTGCCACCCCGGACTTCCCAAGAGAGGAGGCCCACTCACGGCGTTGTTCTCTCTCTGCATCAATATCAGCATCAAGTGAGACATGTTTGTTTCTTCTATCATGCTTCACACCTGCAGCCTGGCTTGTGGTGCTTGCCGCTGTGAAAGGTTCACTTGGCTCCACATCTGGTTCAACTGGTTGAAACTCTTCCTTCTTCATGGCTTCTCTTGACACTGGCCGCTTTAGCCTCTCCTGAGCAAGTGATTTAACCCCATGCAGCTCCGACAGGTCCGCCCCTGATTCGCCTCCCTGCTCGGCCTTCGCCGCGCCGGAGTGGGGCTGCAAGGGTTGTGAGCGCTGCTCCAAAATTCCGATGAGGTGAAGTTGGGGTAGTTTTTCGCGTTTCTCTCCACCTTCACCTTCACCCTCTCGTGAGGAACAGTGATGAAGTGAGCAGGCATCTCGATCCAAAGCGAAGCAAAAGTTCATGTGCAGAGACAAGAGCTGTAGGAATGTATCAGGGTCCTTTATTCCTATGTATTTTGCTTCAATCCAGGGTAGTATGGTTGCACCCTTGTTGACACATGCACGCCCGACTGTTTGAAACAAGTGCTGCGCTGCATTATCTCCAATGGATCTGTTGTGAGAAAGCAGCAGTTTGCGAGGACTGCATGATTGCTTGGCAATCCATGAGGCAAGCCACATTGCTGCGCAAGCATCAATCCTGTTCCATTCTAAGTCCAGGCAGGCGACATGCTTCCCAGCTGATTCAACCGCCTGCAACAAGACCATGAGTCCATCCTTTCCAAGTCGGTTCCCGGCCAAGTTAAATGACACCTCCCGGACAGAAGGACGCCGAGCTTGACACTTCTCCAGGACAGATCGTAAAAGCTGTGCAACAGCAGCTGCTGCACCATCCTTGATACGGCGCCCTCCCAACTCCACTTGCAACAAATGGCCATCCCAATGGATCCATTTTGACACATCTGAACCACTCCTTGAGAGGCCTGGCTTGTTTTCTTCTGGTTCTTTTTTGAGCTCTTCAGCGTCTCCAACTTTTTCCTTCTTGACTTTCTTGGATTGCACTTCAGGATGTACAGGATGTGGGAGCGAACGCTTGGAAGATACTCCTTGGGCTTTTGGTTGGATCGCCTGCTCTCTGTTGACCTCGGTTTTCGGAGCTTTCACCTCTTTGCCATCACTTCTGACGGGCTCCTCAGCCTTCTCTTCTGGGTGCTGCAGCTGTGAGTCAACTTGGCTTGAGTCTAGCGGAATCTCCTCCCAAATTCTGACTCGAGTCTCCGCTTCGTCGCACAAATAACATGCATGACATGACACAGAAAAACAGGCAAAATCTTGAAGTCCTGGCACTCGGAGCAAAACCTTCTGCCAAAATTGGCAATTGCAGCTCGGTTGTTATTACTCAACAATTGCTCAGACTTGCCTTGTATGAATTCAACTGCCCTCTGAGTGCAATGCCAATCACCTTCTGGCACCCCAGGCCTCAGGATTCAACAGCTCCTTTGGCGACGAACAAACCCGCAGCTCTGGGATGGGCACAAACCAATGCAATAGAAGTGAGCCGCTCCCTTCAGTGCACACAAAACAGAAAAAGTAAAACATACCCCCCCATGGTTGGTGTTTGCAGATCCCACCTGGCAAACAGCCCCTTCAGCATTCCAACACACACTTGGCAGCCACACACTACATCTGCCGCCCAGTCCATCGCAAAGCAACAAAGCATCCTCGTCGTCCGAGCGGTGACCTTGACTGGAAAAGGGATAGCAAGTAATCGGCAACAAAGAGGATGGTCTACTCCAACACCCCGATTCCCAACAAAGCTATAGCAGCTAGGAGCTCTGCAAACACTGCAAACCACGTCGTCGTCGCTTGCATCACCTGCGTCGGGGCAGGGTAGCTCAACTACATCGAGACGTGCTGGTCTCAGGCCTTCAGCTTCCTGCTGATCTCGTTCCTCCACGTTTGCAACACCTAAGCTGCACGACTGGGCGGTGGTTCAAAGTGAGAGGCGCCTCTGAAGTGTCCAAAGAGCTGTCCACATGTTTGCAAAAAGTTCAAAGGCAAGAGTCACTGTAGAGTCCTGTACTGTACGTGTCCAGGATCTGTTCCTGCTTATGTGTGCGTGTGTTGAGTCCTCAAAAGCGCTTGGATGTGCGTGTCGGAATTTCTGGGCACAAGTCTCAGCACCTGGCGTCTCAAATCACCCTCAGGGCCATAGACCCCAAAGCGTCCAAATCTGACTTTACACCTCAGCTACTGAGTGCCGCCATGGCGGAGTGCCACTATTGTGATGCGTGTTGTGTGTCGTGTGTATGTATATATATATATACATATAGAGTAGTGATAATTATGACAACAATGGAATCCAAGGCACAAAGGGCATGTGTTCTCCTGTGCTGCCCATGTAGCGATGCACCTGGAGTGAAACTTAGTCACCTGGTTCCGTGTCAACTCCGGTTCATTTCAACTGAACGCACCTCACGTGGAAGAAATGAGCGGGTGCACAAGAATCCAAAATGGCAACGAAATCACCGTCTTTGCCTGAGCCACAAAACTCTTATACTTTTCCAGAAATATAGGGAATATTGTAAGGCTCCAGCTCACAGTATCAATATCAAGCAGGCAGGCCCCACACCTCATGAGATCCGGATCAGATCATGACTCCAAAACCTGCCCTGCACTCTTGTCCCCTTGGCTGCGGGCTGTTTCAGCGTAGCGGCCGACGCACTCTCCAAGAGAGGACTGCCAAGAGTTCTTGAAAATGCACCAAAGAGAAGAGCACAACTCGGTTGAAGTTCCTCCATTGGAGGACTGCCAAGGCTCAACTCCGTTGCATTCCAAAGTTTCTAGTCAGAAAGCTCTCAACCCAACTCTCGCTCCGCTTAGGTGTCATGGATGGCTCACGAATCCCCCACGCTCCCACAGGCACAGGGCACCCACAGACCGCACCTGAAGCCGGCTCGCCCTTCAAGAAGAGCATTCCTCAATCGTTCACTGCGCCTGCAAGCACATCCCCCAGCTGCTTCAGAGCACAGGACACTGCCATGCCGACATGGTCTTGCCTGGGGGATGTAGAAGTTGCCATGGCCATCAGGCAACATGCAAGCTACCCCCAAACATGCTTCACTTCAATATGTGGGTACGGAAGCTGCTGCTGCACAAGCCCACTCATTTTTGTACCATTTGCAGCTCTCCGCAAGCAAAGTTTCAAGGAATGTGAAGAAAACACCTAGCATCGAAAAATGGAAACAATGTTTGATGAAGCAAGACTAGCAAACTCCTACTCAACATGAGCAAGAGCACTTGCTGTTTTGCCGCGCTTAAGCCCATCAAGCGCAGCAAGGACACAAGCAAGTCAATGCGCAATGAGCGAAAAAGCAACAATATCCATTCTTTAGGCAGAGCGGTGTCGCATTTTGATTCCAGCTCAGCTGCAACACTTGTGTCGGGCTGAGACTGAAGAAACCGTACCAGGATTCTCAGTTCGTCGAAGAAGCGGGCAGCCTGCAAGTATCTAAAGCCGTTTTTCGAGCTCAAGTTGCAAACCTTCAAGCTTTCCGGGAGGCTTACCTGATGCCAGGATTTATGGCATACGTATTCGGCGATACCCTTTATCAAGATTTGGCATGCTTTGGCTATGACAACTCCGGCGTGTTTGTAGCTATGCTCCAACACTTTCAAAGCTCCCCTCGCCGTCGCAAATGAAACAGCTCAGAATATAGCCAACTTGCTTGAAGTTTGTGAAGGCTGATTCTTCACACGCACCGACGCACTGCCAATGTGGAGAGAGGCTGTGTGCAAAAGGAATGTTTTTGAACGTGTTTGAGCAAGCCTGTACATGTCCATTTGGATGCGTGCAAGCACCCTGTCGAGGCATCACTTCTGTCGGTCAATTTGTCTCAAATACACAAATTGCCATCGACCACTTCAACTTCGCTTCAGCCAAGACTCTCTTCTCCAATTACTGTTCGTGAGAGCGGCAATATTCAAAGGCCCGCGAGAAAGTTCGTGGTCCAACCATTCCTATCTGTTACGCTTGCTGCACCTGTCGTGGAGCTGCAGTCTGTGCCCGTGCAATTAATTGTTTGGCACTCTAGCAAACTTTTGCATAGCCTGGCCCTTCACTGAAACACGTATCGACAAAAACCATGTGAAACCTAAGGTAAGTCATGTAAGTCGCAGCGAAAGGCGGGGCCGAAGGTTGGATCCAGCACTTTGTCAACACAATGCCACAAAGGTACAGAAAGTCATCGAAGCTTGGCGGGCTGGTGCCGGTTTCAGAACCCATCCCTTTCCCCCTGCCCTCGATCCTTATCTTCCTCTGACAAGATCTGTTCTTTCCACCTACTTAGCTGTTGTTGCACAACTCTTGTTCCAAAATCCATTGTTGTGACCACCGGCCATTGCGCTGTAATTGCGTAAGAAGATGTATTGTGGTATATTGGGCGTCATGTTGTCAATTACCAACGGCTTTCCTTGTATTTGGGCAATTCAGGACGGACTTTGGAATTGGGAGCTGCTCCCACAAAACGACTGAATCAAAGTTGTCACAGTCTTCCGCAGTTTAAGGAGCAGTGATCAAGAACTTCTCTGACAGCTGCAGGTGCTGAAGGAAAGTGAGGATTCTCTGGTGCGTCTACTTAAATTAAAGAACCTTTAAATATGTATCGTTTCGCTTGGTTGTTTGCTATCTGAATCTATGCTTCGAATCACAAGCTGAGTGCCTCGAGCTTTGTCCAGGCAGGAGCCCTCACAAAGGAACACTTCATAGAAAGCAGCGTTGAGGGACTCTCTCGGTCCTTCAGACAAAGTTGTGCTCTTCAAACAGTTCATTGAAATTCCATTGCTGAGTTGACCTCTTCAACGTTTCATCACAATGCCTTTGCACAACCTTCACCGTTCGGACCTTCAAAGTGCAACGGAAACTGTGTCCTCAGAGGTGAATAAAGATGGCTTTTGTCGCGTATCGACCAGAAAGGACCGATGACGCCTCACAGAACCCAATTCACACATCCACAACTCCTCAGCAGGCCAGGCCAAGCTTCACCCCAAGACCCCTGCAACTCACTTGGGCCATGCCGTTCACCGGGATCCTTTGTCGCGGTGTTGGCAATCGCCAAGGAGCGAGGGTCCACTTGCAGAAAGTCTGCACCTGGCATTTGCTACTAGTTGCGTCTTTGTTCCTAGTAGGAATGCCTTTGCTCCTAGTAGCGATGCGCTTTGTTACTAGTAGCTTCTTGCTTCAAGGAATTTGCATCAGGTACCTTGTCTTTTGGAGCGTTCTTTCTTGCCAACGCCACCTTTGTCTGGGTGAGACAAGTGACAAGTCTCAAGTGGCCGTTGGCCCGTACAAATCTCGACCCCTACGGCTGCCTACCGCTCCCTATACCCCATTCAAAATGGCGTAGAACGAGTGGCACCAAAGATTGTGATGAAATCAGACAAGCCGGGTAGGAACCCAAATCTTCAGTTTATGTGTTTTTCAATTATATGGCATTATCTTTAACAAAATCTATATATATATATAGTGTATATATATATATATATATGAGTTAGCGTCAAAAATATATGCTTGGAGTGTTTTCGTTTCACTTTTGTCAGTCCCCTATCGTTTTCCATGGTTTTGGATTTTGCAAGTATGTAAACACAGGGGTATCGTTTTTTGTCAGTCCCCTATCGTTTTTCAAGGAAAATCACGAAAGCAACACAGAGATGAAACGTCCCTTACTAAAGTGGTTGATGATAATTTTGAGGTTGCCTCATATATATTCGGGAAACATTGGATAAAAAATATGTTGTTTCCATATCATGGTCATGTTTTATTTGTAGAGATGTTTTTTGAAATATTGATGATGTCAGTTTTTTGTAACGTCTACGAAATATCTATGAAATATGTTGCTTTATGAAGTGTTTATGACACATCTTATGGACAATTTATGAAATATTTATGGACAACAAAGGTTGAAATGTGCGCAACCATAAGTTTCCACGTAGTTGTTTCCATTAAAATATTCATAAGTTTCCACGTAGTTGTTTTCATTAAAATATACTATATATATTGAAGTCAGTGGTTTTTACCAACGTGTAGGACCTCAAATTCAGACATCCTTGAACTCCAACATCACCCAGTCCACACCTGGTTTCATGAGGAGCTCAAACATCAAGTCTCCAGACAGTGGCCCATGCCTCGGCTGCAACTTGGTCGGTCCAACTCGATCACTTGATCGTAATGCCAAGCTGACTGGAGCACATCCACAATCTCAGAACAATCAACCTTTGTCGGCACATGGTGGCTGAACTTTCTGGCTCAACCTAAAAACCTATGCCTTTGATTGAGCTTGAGAAAAAGACTCGCCTGCGAAATCAGTTGATCTTCTAGCCTCTCATTTTCTGTGCCTTGCTGTGACATCGAATCCAGCCGCAAACATGGCAAAGATACTGTGTTGGGTTGGTACTCCTGCAGAACCAAGCGAGAACCGAATTCTCGGCCAAAGGATGTTGACGTGTTTTGCCCCAACAGCAAAGCTTCGGGGTCTTCAGCAGCAGGTCCAGGCTGAGCAATTTGGCAGCAATTTTGCACAACGTCCTTGCTCCTAGTAGCGATGCCCTTTGTTACTAGTAGCTTCTTGTTCCTAGTAGTAAGGCCAGGAGCCCTTTGTAGCGTCCTTGCTCCTAGTAGCGATGCCAGGAGCCCCTAGTAGCGTCTTTGCTCTAACGCCAACATTGTCATGGCGTAATGTTAACATCTCATCATTTACGTGATGCCTTTGCTGACATGTCACGCTGGTATGCTTCTGTTGGGTCACGTTGGTATGTTCTCAGCTTGTTGCGCCGACGTTTTGTAATGCTGTCACACTGACATGAGTCAGGATAACATGCTGACACGTTGTCATGCTGAGCTGTGCTGTCGCGCTGGCATGCTGGCAGGCTCCAGAGCGAACTCCGGAGCGGGTTCCTGATTCTCGCTTGCTGTGGCGTTGTCATGCTTACACATATGTGAGCACATGTGCTATGCCGACTGATTTCCTTGTTGTGATGCTCGCATGGCACATCGAAAAGGCTCACTTGTTTGGAAGCAGCATTGTCTGGCAAAGACACGGCACTTGTTGGAGAACTTGCGAACAGGTGGATTCCAGATTCCTGTCCAGCTCTTGGGGATTTTTCTTGGGTTTCTTTTGGATGCAAAGCAATATCTCAGCACAGGATTTTGAGGCTTTCACTGCTTCAGCTACACTACAGCGCTGAAAACACAAGGTGTCTAAGGGCAAGACCGAGGCCTTCAAAAGCCTCGGCTCTTGAAGAGCGCAACCAGCAGTTTTATTGGCTGGAACAGGTACAATCAAAACAGACCTATTCAGCTTCTGTCCATCATGTTCCTGTTCTATGCTGCTTGGTGTGCCTAGTCTACTGAGAGCCTGACCCGAACCTCAAGTATAAGGGCTGGCACCTCCACAAATACAGCTCTCATCAATCATATTTGAGCAAAAAAGGCTGGCAAAATCACCAAGACCTCCGCGCTTTTTGGACGACCCTTGGCAGCATGTTTGAAAGGTTCGAGCTCTTGTAAGGACCAATGAGTTAGTTAAATGCAACATGAAAGCGCACCCACACACACACAAAAAAAAAAAAACATTAAAAAAAGAACTTGGCCCTGCGCAATAACATTTGTCTGAAGTGAAACTCGAAGGTCTGACCCGTCGCTCATGATGACACTAGTCTCAGCACCTCGGAAAGCTATTTCGATGGATGTGTACAAAGGAGAGAAACAGAAGAGAAAAGTATATAAGTTGGTCGTATTCAAGGAGCCAATACGTTCTTATTTTCATCTTTTCATGACAAGTCGCTTGTTGTTGGAATAGGTAGTTCATCTGGACCAAACTGCCCCAGGAGGTCGATCATGGGATTGAGTGCCTCCAAGACTCCAAGCTTTGTTGCGAGACAGTCATTGGAGCCTTCCTCAGCCTACCTCTTCCAGGGAGCCAGCACTTCCGAAAGCCTTCTCTATGCCCTGACCAACTCTGTCATTCAATACACACAATATTCAGGTGCAAAGCAAACACGTGGGCCAAGGGCTGTCCTCAACAAGGCTCGAGATGTCTGGAAGCTCCGGGGTCAAATTGATATCATCATCCT